TTCATTACTAGCATATTTATTACCTGTCTCCTATTTACATACATCCTTCATGCTCCTTCTTACAGCCCCATCCTTAGTGTGCCTGGCCAGACCCATCGATTCCTGCAGATAAGGAATATTTCATGCCAAGGCCTCAAGTCCCCTTAACCCCATCAGTGACTCCAGGTGATGAATAGGGGCACTGCATGGATGCTCCCTGTCCATGCACTTGATTTCTCAAGCATGGAAACACAGAGTCAACGAGAGATAGAAAGAATCCAACTCACTTCAGATGTTGTCATGCTTAATTTGTATACCTCATTTGTGCAATTAAGTCATAGAAGTGTTAGGTCTTAGGGGCACCTGATGCTGTCAGACTTGCAATGCTGAGTTAAAAGGAGGTTGTACCGTGTGCATTTTGAATTAAAATTGCCTTTGGCTAAAGAAAACTTCATCATTCAAAACTTTGTGGATGTTTTCTATAGTTAGAAGAAGGAATTTGAGAAAATGAAGGTGTTTATGGTGGTGGTGGGGAACCTCACAAACTCAGCTCTGATAAAAGATGCTGATCTGTATTATGGTGATCACAGTGTGTGCATCCTGGAGACTACTTTAGATGTTATTGTAACCTCTTAATACTGGGATGTTAAGGATTAGCATGAATAGATATTTGGGTAATAATAAAGTAATTGTCCTGCCTCTTACCACATACTATCCTAATGAGATAATCCGATGATACATATTGGCATAATCTCAGAGAATACACCCAGATGGACCTTAAGATCCCGCAGTCCATTCCTTAGGCATGGTCTGTTGCAGCATAGTGCCTGTACCACTCCTGAAACACATTTTTCTAATATGTACATAGAAACTGCCAGTGACTGATTTCCCTGTAACATCCTGAAGCAACTGATGCAAAATTTCTTGTCAGATAAGAAAGTTTTCCCCTTATTAACTGAAGTCTGGTTTGCTACATTTTAAGCCCATCATGTCGACTCAGCCACTGAAGTCAGCAGCAGCTTTTCATGTATTTGAAGACTGCCATCATGTCCCCTCTATGTCTTTTCTTCACTATGTTAAACATGAGATGTTACAGGTTCTCTTTCTGTTTACACATCCCACTACAGCATATGCTTTTTTTCTTTCTTCAACAACTTGACATTGGCCCATTATTCGTCTTGTGAGCCACTATAAATGCCCCAGATCTTTTTCTTTAGAACCGTTACCTATTTCCTGTTCTGTATTTGCACATTCAACATTCCTCCCCCCCATTCTCCCTCCCTCTCCTGTTCTGCATGGGAAGACCTTGCTGCAAATAGGAGCAAAGTAGCAGCATTGCCTTGCCTTAGTTCTGATGTCCGCAAAATCCCAACAGTTACTAGGCAAGGAGGATGATTCAACGATAGTTAATCATCCTGCTTATAATTGCCTCATCATTCTATAAAGATCTCACCTTGTTTTTGCTGCTATCATCCACTGTCTCACCTTATGGACATGAGTCAGCTGTCTAAACGTAGGCATCTACCACCTTTTACACTCCCTGAACTACCCAAGGCATGTGCCTAGGACTGGCAGATGTGAAGCAGCACGTACATGGTTCAGGAGCAACACCTGGAGACCAGGCAGGACAGACTGCAGTGCCCAAAGTGTCCACAACACCCACTTTCAGGCTTCTAAATCCCATCCCTTTGTATGCTACTGCAGCATGCACATCAAAATGTGCAAAAAGGAAAATATACAAAGACTGGAATTTCCAAATTCCACTGGAATCAATGGTGAGCTTGTGTTACCTCAAAATGAATGTAATTAGTGAGCAAAGATTAGAAAAGTTAAGGCTTTAAATCAGTCTTACTGAATATCTGTAGTGCAGTAACATCCAAAATCTCTGTCCAGGATCAAACCCTGGATCCAAGAACTGCATAGAGGTATAGTTTGCACTTGGTCAGAGTTGAGAATATCTCTATTTATGCATTTCAGATTTTAATACCGAGACAGACTAAGTGTCTTTCTCAATCAATCTGTACAAGAGAAGGAGGAGGAAAGTTGAGTATCAGCTCTCATGGAAGTTTCTCCATCTCAAAACCCAGCCTGGTTGGTAACTTGGGAAAAGAGCCACAGCCCTTGCATTGCTGTGCAAGCAGGTAGGGCAAGAACAACAGGGGCTGTTGTGATTTGATACCTGTCAGGCATGCTACTGCTTGGGAAATATATTTTGCAATACTATCTGAAGCAAGGTTTTTAAAGACCAACTGTGGCATATATGTGACCGCAGTGACAGGATGAATTTATAAAATCTATGAAGTTGCTAGGTAACAGTGTCCTGTCCTCACATCTGCTGATCAGTGATGACTTGTTCACTTAATATCTATCCTTGCTCAAAATTTTCGTGTGAACAGATTTTTAAATAAAAACAAATCTGAATTTATCTCTCTATTTTACAGAATTTGTTCTTTGCCAACTTTCTAATAGTCTGTCTAATCCTTCACTCTCACACCAAATGCAGCACTTTGTATTTCTGGGAAATCACAGCCTCTTCCTGAATCCCCACTCTGAAAGAGCAATATGGAAATTTTACAGCAGAGAGCTCATCCCTCTCCCTGACTTCATTAAGACAAATGACACACAGTGTTGCGTTCAATGTATAAATTCCATCTGAGTCAGCTTCTAATCAAAATAAGCGGTAAGGCAGCAGATACAAGACAATGACTACGAAGTTTATGGACCACCTGAGGAAAGACACCCTACAACAGGATTCTCAGAAGGCCTGAAACAGCCTAGGGGAAAAAGATGGTAGCACCAAAACAAATCCAACTAGAAGCAAGTTCTCCACAGCACATCATAAATAATAAAAATACCTGCTGCAAACATAAAATCACTGGGATTTGTATAATTGACTGTGACAGCCAAGGAGTTCTGACACCAACAGTGGCTTATCTTGGGCTTTGTCTTTTCCAAGTGTATTAACATGGCTTACCCATTCCCTTGCTTTATTTCACTATGTCATTTTGCACTTTCTGTTGTTTTTGAGGATACAGTAAGTGGTACATTATAGATCGCTGTCATCCCAAGTTAGAATTTCAAGGCTAAAATGTCATCCTCTGAGGAGAGAGCTGGTACAGCAGCTCCCAGGGCCCTTGTGTCCAAAACGAACACAAAGTCTCAGAAGGAAAGGCTCAGCTGTCCCATCTGTTCAGTGATGCTTTATTCCCCAGCAGGGTAGGCAAAAGCCACGGAAACCTGGCCACGGGAGCCAAAGGAATAGAAGTAGTCTCAGCTTACTGTGTAGCGGCCATGATGCAGAGAGCTGCTACAGGTTATACATCTTCAGGAAGACCTATTACAAAGGGAAACAAAACTGTAACTCAGACCTATTTAGAGTCATCCCAGGTGCGAGTGTCCTGCTTCTGGCAGTTTTGATCAGTTCCAGCAAGGAGAAGAATTATTAGCTTATTAAATTCTGTGCATCCAGAATTCAAGTATACTTGAAATATATCTTTCTCTGAGTAATCATCATCATCATTTTCTTCTGGTTTTCTTATTTTTCAGCATATTGCCTTAAGCATTCTTTGTAGTTTCTAGGTAATGGCTCCACGTTAAAGGCTCATTAAAAGCAAATAAGATTGCAAGGTCACCTTATACCCTTTGCAAGAAATGCCACAATTCAAGTGCATCTGAAATGTCCCTCACTGATGTTAGAGAGGCTCTTACCAGGTATCCCAGAGACTTGCTTTTCATCAAGGTGAAAGCTTCTCTGTTAGCTGCCATGACTTTTGGTCCAGTTTGTACGGAAAGCCCTTCGCCAAAGCACTTGTCCCCACAAGACCCACTGCCACTGCACCTCTATTAATGCAGAAGCTTACAGCTTTGCCAGGATCATCCTACTCTGGTAATTCATCACGTCCCACTGCAGATGATGTTTTCTCTATGGGAGTCTGGCTTATTGAAGTGTTTTTTTTTTTTTTTGTAACAGAGGTACCTAAGTAGTGAAGTAAAAGGCAGTGGCATGTCTGACCACAGCTAAACCAAGATATTTCCTTGATTTGTCTTTTTAATTTTAACTGTAACTTATTTCAGGCATGCCTTGCTCTGGATTCAGGGACTGACTCCCCCTTTTCCCCTGGCATTTTCCCTTTTCAGTGCATTTCCTTTCACCATCTTTCCCAACACACGCAAACCTTTAGAAATACACACTTTGCCAGCTCTTCAAAATGCTTTCAGCTTACCAGAACAGCAAGTGTACCTACCTTCAATGTCACATCTTTATAGCAAGTAGCACCCATGCACAGTCTTTCAGGACATACTGTGCTGTTCCTTTATTGCATTATTGTTCACCTAGCATCATTCATGAACCTGTTTCCCCTTTCCAGTGCCTAATGCTTAGAGTACCTAAGTCAGCTATCAGCTGACTAGCTATCAGTGAGGCATTTGCAGACCAACCATACCTTTTCCTCCTGGAGCAAATGCAGTATTTCTTAAAAGCTGTTGTACAGCTTAGAAATTTTCTGTTCTCTGAGGTTATGGGTATCTGTTCCTTCTGAACTACACAGACTATGATTGTAGCTGAAAAAATACTCTTCACAGATTTTTACCTGAAGCTTTTTTCAGAGGTGACATTAGAGACAAAAGGAAGAGTTCAAAGAAAGCAGGTGCTCTCTTACATCCTATTATCCATCACAGCTCTGGTTCTCACTGCTGACACTGTGCTTTTTTTCATTTTTATATTACACGGTCTCTCATCTGCTGCCACTCTTGGGTCAGGTTTGACAGTGAGCTATTTGAGGTGCCAGCCTTGAAATAACCTGTGCGTAACCAGATTTCATTTAACACTGTTGCAGACCATACTCCGACAACTCCACATTTCTCTTTTGAGAAGGATTTTACAGACAGTTCAAATCCCAAAATAAAAACCCCACATTTCCCACTATTGGCTAAATGTTGTATATTAAAGTCTTCTTCAGTGACCACTACTGGCTTCTCTAGACTTTCCTCGTGATAACAAAACAGGTGACTCAGGACCATCCTTTTCATATATTGATTCAGCACTGGATTTATTCTTCCTTGTAATAATTTCAGTGTCAGACTACTCAGTAGTATTCTTCATTACCACAGATCATTACGCATTAACCTTGCTAGAAAGCACCACAAAACCAACACTGAAGAATATAAATCATCGACCTTGTGTGTTAACATAATCCTTGTAATTCAAGTTTCACTGAAAAAAGTTCCATTCATCTGATTATTTTTGAACTGGTTTGAAATACATGTAATGTATATAATCTCAGAGTAAATAGAAATTCTAATTAAGCTCCCTTCAGTGAGGACTGTGTTTAGTTCATATTGTGTATAGAGCTGTTTGACTCTACATCAAATCCACTTCAGAATGAATCATTTAAAGGCTTCCTAGACACATACATAGAGGCTCATTTTTAACAGCCTATGTTATACAGCATAAAAACACAGCTAGCATCATTTTCAGGAGACATCAATACCAGAAAGTAAAAGACTGCAGATCACCAGCCAGTGTATCTGAAACAGAAATGATACATACAGGTCAAAGCAAAGAGTATGGATCTCCAGGAGCTCTTTAAGCTTCTTAAGCTTACCACATAGCCAGTGTACCCCTCTGGCAAATTTTTCTTCCACTAAACTTTTGAGCTAGATTCTTCATAAAGTAGAAAATGTCAGAGGGAAGGGGACACAACAAATGTCAACGTCATATCCCAATAAATTTCACAGAGAAGTTAAAAACCAAAACAAAGCAAAACAAAAACTTGTAAATACAGTTTCAAAATTTTCCAGTTCTTTCCAAAGAACTCGGAAACTTCCCTTGGAAACTTCCCTTGCTTATGACAGACACCTCTTAATGCTGTATGTCAGCTCAAAGTCCCCAAAGCAGGTCATGTTCTTGTCATCCCACTCACCAGCATTTCTCACTTCCCAGCTCACTGTGATGTGCAGGAAAAAGGTATATGTACTGTTGCAGCCCGTGAGATGTTTCTTCTTTACTCCATCTCTTTTTAAAGCTGTTTGTTAGTTCACACATTAACACTAATTGCAGCAGCAGAGGCATCAGATGTGGAAAGCCAGTTCCCTGCAATAACATAGTCCCAAAACATTTAGAGCTGTATAAGGTAATAAGGCAGAAAGCAGCTAATGCAGCATGCAGTGTGGTAGCAGAATGTGTGAAGCATTACAGCTTAGATAAACCCATTCAAACCTAATTCACCTTTCGGGTGATCTCAATAAACAGTTCCATCAGTGCATAAACATGTATAGATGAAGGTGATTATGCAAGTTAGAAAGGCCAAATTCTCCTCAGTAGATATAGTGTCTGCACAAACACACAGAATTTAACATACTTAAGAACTGCAGACTTTTAATAGATGATACAGTGATAAAATTCACAGAATGGTTGAGTTGGAAGGGACCTCTGAAGGTTATCTGGTCCAACACCCCTTCTCAGGCAAGACCACCCAGAACATGCCCAGGACCATGCCCAGACAGCTGCTGAAGATCTCCAAGGAGATATCCACCACCACCTTCCTGGACAAGCTGTTCTTCATATTCATCACCTACACAGTAAAGAAGCATTTCCGGATGTTCAGAATGAACGTCCTTATTTCCAGTTTGTGTCCATTGCCTCTTGTCCTGTCACTGGGCACCACCTGACTCTGTCCTCTTTGCAATAGGAGAGGTGCTGCAGTCCCTTCTTCATTTTCACAGCCCTTCACTGGACGCATTCCAGTACGTCCATGTCTCTGTGGTACTGAGGAGCCCAGAATCAGACACAGTGCTCCAGGTGTGACCTCATCAGGGCTGTGCAGAGAGGAAGTATCACTTCCCTCAACCTGCTGGCAATACTCCTCATTCAGCCCAGGATATCATCTGGCCATCTTTGCAGCAAGGACACATTTCAGGCTTGTGTTCAACTTGGTGTCTACCAGGCTCACAGGTCTTTTTCTGCAAATCTGCTTTCCAGCCAGGCAGCCCTCAGCATGTAATGGTGCCTGGGGTTGTTCCTCTTCATGTGCAATTCCCTTCATTGAACTTCAGGAGGTTCCTATTGGCCCATTTCTCCAGCCTTTGCAGGTCCCTCTTCATGTCTACACGACTCTCTGGCATACCAGCCACTCATTCCAGTTTTGTGTCATCAACAAAGTTGCTGAGAGTACACTGTGCCTCATCATTCAGATCATTAATGGAGACGCTGAATGGGAATGGACCCCATTAGTGACCTGGGGTACCAAAGTAGTTACTGGCCTCCAGCTAGATTTCATTCATCTGATCTCTGGGCCATCTGTTCAGCTAATTTTGAATGCACCACGCTGTTCATCAACAGCTTCTCTACAAGGATCTTTTGGAAGACTGTCCAGGCCTTACTGAAATCAAGGTAGACAATATACTCTGCTCTCCCCTCCCATTTATTTCCTGTGTTTCTGATTCCTCTCATGCCTGTTTGAAAACAAAACACAGTGTATTCCCCTCAGCTATAGTGCAGATGCAACAGAGCCCACATAAATGATATAGTTGGAGGGTCTACCTAACTATAATTTTCCAACATCCTTGTCTAAATTTTCCATGGGTTATAGCCTAATGTGGTACCTATGCATTAGCAGAATTCCCTCCACTTTGTTCTTATTGCTTGTGGAACCATGAACATCCTGGCTTTTTCAGACCTTTTCCAGCACTTCCTCATTCTACAGGGGAATTCATCAATTTAAACCAAAAGGTGTCACTACAAGGTTTAAAAACCTTCTGTTTTATATATATATATATATAGATGATAGATAGATAGATTAGATAGATAGATAGATAGATAGATAGATAGATGTGTGTGTGTATGTATGTATATATATATATATATATATATTTGCTTGTCAAGGTCCCTCTTGACATATAACACTCCCTGAAGCTACCCTACAGTGGAGAGCTAGCATTTGGTTAAGAAATTTGCAATTCTTTGATGCAAATCAGAGGGAAGTTATATATGTATGCACATACACATACACACTAATTTTCTACTGTAGGGTAGCCGCAGGGAGTGTTTTAAGTAATAGATGATAATTGAGTTGAGATTAGCTGCTATATCAAAACTACTTTAAAGGATGAGAAGGCAGTTTCCTTACTAAGCAATTCAAAAATCACTTGGGATCACAAGTCTACCAAAAACTCAAGCAAAAGATATGAAAAACCCCTATGTGCTTCAGAGAAGCCCCATGCCAACTGTTCTCCAGGCAATGACAAGCAAGACTTTGTCTTGGTTTTGAAGCAAAACACAGTCTCAGAAAAGATACTGACAACAAAGATGGTGTTTCTAGTACCAAGAGCTATAGCTTTCATGAGGATTCAGCTGGTATGCCTTGGCAGATGGTAGAGTAATAGGATGATTCCAGTATTTGGGTTCTAGTCCCTCATTTCCAGGCTGAGGACATTATACTGTTTGCAGTCTTACTTTGTCTCCAATTTCCAGACGTTTACACATTCTGGAAAATTAGCAGCAAAGGAAATATTCTACAGATTTAATTTTTCATTTCCATTCCTTTCTGCTTCTCAAATTGCTGCTGCAAAGAAAACTAAAAGCACCTTCAAGAGACATACCCCTTCTCTATAGTGATTTGGACATTTCATTTCTTACACCAATTACTGAGTGACATTTTATATATTGCAGTATAATAACTATAGTTCTTTAAAGAGCACAATTAATTAAGCCTCAGAACAGTCCTTTGAAATAGTCAAGATTTATTATATTACAGGTGAGTGAACTGAGGCATAGAGAAGTTAGGATCAAGAAGAAACATGAGAAATACTGAGTATGAGGTCACCACAATCATTCTTGCACTGATACTGTCATTTTCAACTCTTTGCTTCTAATGGCTTATTAATTTGCAAGAAGATATTCAAGGTTTTCCTGTTAATTTAGCAAGGGGACATATTTTAAGTTGTTAGTTAAAATGCCTCTTTTTTTTTTTTCCCATTCAGAGTTTAGCATATAGCTTGATGGTCCACATCTTCAGCAACTGAAGACATCGGGCACAGATGACTTAGGAAGGTCATTCAGGAAACAAAAAATAATGAATTTTGGAATTCATATGCATCAGAAATGCATGGGATGGAGGATAAAAATCTGTCAGATTTATCAGCCTTACCTGTCACCCGTACAGTTAATCTGATTATTCTCATGACATATTTTAGCAGCAATACATCTATAACAAGTCCAGCCAGACTATGTGTTGCAAAACAAACCACTGAAAGCATGAAAAGAATCATTATGTTATAAATAATAGGAGGGAAAAAACGTCTAGTATGTCTTAACAGCACATATAAACTAGGGCATTAAAGCAAGGCATGGTGGATGAAGATGCCTAGGCACGTTTAAAAAAAAAAAAAATCAGCATTTTTTGGGCTAGAATGATTTTTATTTCACAAGAAATGGGATTTTATTTGCAATAACAGTATGATGTTGGAAGCATGAAAACAAGCATGGATTTTAATGAAGCTTAACCTCTGGATTTTTAACCTCCTTTAACCACCAGAGCTTTTTTCTTTCTCTTTTTTTTTTTTTTTTTTTTTTTTTTAATACATTCTGCAGCTCATCTCATGAGACCAGGACCACTCTCCCCACCTGACTCATCAACTGTTTGCTCTGGTGTTGCTCTGCTACTGTCTGTCAAACTGTCTCCAGACAAACCATTTGACAGCTCATTTTATAAGGGTTAAAAGGCACACGGAGGTTCTGTTTTTGTTTTTGACAGACAGCAAATAGCCTGGAAACAAATATTCACTTATGCCAGTGCCTCCAGTTTGTCTTAAACAGTCAACTCACACAAAAAGTAGGAAAGTCTCAACAGCAGAAAAATATCAAAAAGGTTTTGGGTACAAATGCTCACTATTTTGCACTAAAAATATATGAACTAACCAATAAAGGAAGAGATTAAGAAGTACAGTAAGAATTAAGCCATTACACTCAAAACAAGGAATAAATACTTTCAACATGTCACACTGACAGCAGGTACAAGATATTACTGTCCAAGAAACGACTTGTCCCCATAAGCAACAGCAGCAAACACTGGTCACCTATTTCGACCTCTCTCTGAACTAATCCCCTCAGGTACAATATTCTTCAGGGCACTGTATCTGGACCTGATAGAAAGACTCAGAGTTATTCATGTTCTTAAATATAAGAGAAAGCAATAAAAACTTTCAGAATATTGTGGGATCACTGTAAAGACACTCAACTAGATTACCAAAACAAAGACATTTCATGGAAATATAACCAATATCCTGCAATCCACTGAGTAATTCAGGAATTACTCTTCAACTGCTTAAGCAATTGAGAGCCAGAAGGTACCAATATTTTCATTAGCAAGTGCCCAAAATTCTAGCAGTGTACATGGGTGAACTGCCTCACTGGTTGTTTTATGCCTGTGTCTTTTAGAGGTCTAATACACCATCATTTGAAAGTCTTGTGTGGTGTCTGTCACACTGAACCTCTCTGACAGTTTGAAAGCAGGGAATTGAATCAAGCATTTTATATATGAAACTGCCATCAGCAGGTTTGTATATGTTAGCACACAAGCTAAAGCCAATGTACATCCCCAAAAATAGTAAGCAGGTTGCTCCAGAAACAGGCTCTAACATCTGGCCAACAGGTAAGTTAGAACAATTAGAAAATTTGACTTCAAGGCGACCTCAATATAGCAGTGGGGAGGCAGCTACCGGATCCAGGGGTCCTCTTGTTTTTAAGAGGCTAATATAACCCCGAGTCATTCTAACAGGTTCAGAAAGAGTGACCTGAAGTAATGTATCTGAGAAGATTCATTCAGAGGGAGCTCCAGCAGCAGAGGTCCACCTACAAACAGGACTCCAACATCATTACCCACCCAGCTAGGCTCACAAATGTTGGAGAAGCCATCCCCAATATCTTGACTCAAATGACATTTGACAAAAGTCCCTGTTGCATGTGTGTAGCTCAGTGTTGCCAGCTGCCTACTGGCAGCTCTCTCAGCACCTGGACAAGTATGTTTGGGATGACCAGTATGATTACATCTGAGACTTCCAACAAATCTGAATGCATAGAAAAGCGTAGAAAGA